TTTACGCAGGGATCAATTTAAAATAAGCAATAATACTGACGCAACAAGAAGGGGGTGGTTCTAGCTGTTAAATCACTTTATTTATTAGAGTTCAGAAAATTGTGCACATTAAAGTCAGCACCGATTAGCTACCTGCACATGCATTCACGCCAAGCTGAACTTTCGCCAGAAAAAATTTGTCAAAATTTTGCTAACTTTTAAAGTAGTGCAACGTAATATCAACTGTATGTAAAATACGCCAACAAAAAAATGCAATCAAGCATTGCGAGTCGCACCTCACAGCACAGGTACCTTAGCAGTTGTCAGAAATGCAATTTGAAACCACCGTAACATGTGAATATCTAATAAGACGACAACGCAATTAAAGTTTTATGGCAGTGTACCCGCATTAAATAAATCTTCGCAGGCAGCGTCAAGTATGTCAGTATCAAGCGGCTGGAACTTCCTTCCAGATTGTGTGAAGCTCACTTTATAATATCGCTGCTGTTTAGAATCAAAAGTATAGGACCAAAGAAAGAGGTCAATAATTGAAGTTTGCTTTTAATTTCTAGCATTTAGGTCAAGTAACAATACTGTTTCAAAACAGAACATGGCGCACGACACAACATTGTATACATATTCAATTCCATTAAATATGCATCGGACATAGGCCGAGGAGAAATCTGAACAAATCTCTTAAGAGGTCATCAGCACGCGTCGTCATAAGAGGTCAACACACGCAAGCTAGAAATTATGCCGTAGAAACCCCGATTTAATTTTCAGTAACAGTATCATGTGAAGATATTTATTGCATAATTTCTCATGAAAATAATTCGATTTTTGCTATCATGTGACTCGAATCAGACCCAACATACCTTCATAAAATTTTATTTATATTGTTGCATCGAACATGATCTCAATTATCCCGATGGAGCATATGGCAGATGTGCATGTGAATGACGCAAAACAAGTACTTTTGGAAATTCGTTCGGTACACACAGGCTTTCAGAATCAGGTCATGCCAAACAACCTACTACAGCTTATTAAAATGACATTTTGGGAATGCTTCACAGTAGTCGTCATGATAAGAGTTTCACACTAGACATGTGTTACAGGTATGAAAATATTTAAACGTTACGGCCATCTGGCATAACTGAACCTGAGGCCTTTATTTGACCCAATTCGCTCATCCTTAAAGCAGATACTGCATTCCTGTTGCTGCTTAGCAGTAAGATAAGTTAACGCTCCTGATGTAAAAATTGTTATTCATAGTTGGCGCTGTATTTCATGATTGCGTTGTTCATTAGTCGACCTATAATCTCGTAATCGATTAAATAAATAATTGAAAGATAAATAACTGAAATTCTTATCTATAAGTAGTTTGCAGACCTGTCAGTCATGTTGCGGCACCATATTTGAAACGTTCAACTTTTACGCAGAATTCTCACTAACTGCCAATTCTCCAGGTTGCATTCACTGCAGTGTCACGTAGACGAACCTGCTTACTACAGGCAC